GTGAATTTGCGTTGATTTGACCCCCTCTGATGACCATGATCCTTTACGTTTAAACAATAGATTGTTTGGATGTGACGTCATAGTTAAATAGAGCAATTCACATTGACTATTATGTCTAAATAACAGAATGGCCGGACTGGTCGACTGATTGCCACCATTAATTCACCTGAAAGGAATGTGCTGTTGCTCCACGCTCGAATACTTCCTACATATTTCTTCGCATGTTCTTTTGCATCCCCCTTCTCTTTAATCCATTTTCCCTTATATGGACAAGGCGTGATTTTCGTGTCTATGGAAACCAACTCAAGTCCTGCTTTGACAACAGGCGAGTTAGGACACTTGAATGGTTTCTTGAAGTCATCTACCGTTTTGACGTAAAGGCTTAGATTTGTTTTTGTAAACACATCCTATGAGAGAGGAAAATAAATTCTTTAATTTGTGTTTATTTACWCAAAATGCAAGCAAGCAAGCAAGCAAACCGTTATACAGTCAATTCAAAAAACGTTGTCGTCGACCGGCTCAAGCCTACACGACTGGACCGAAAGGAATATGGTTAAAAATCACTGAAGCGGTTAAATATTCGTTCTGAATTAATTGTTATTGCTAGTAATAAGATAATAATGGCCAGAAACAATCCATCAAATGCATGTCTTTGGGTTTAGGGAAAGGAAAACAAAGTAGTTATGATTCAGTTCACAATTTCGAAAATATGAAGGCATTAAAAAAAAGTCTCCTTCGACACTTCTTCTCGCTTGCCTACGAAGTTTCGTGCTGTAAACCAGGCATAACTAGTCAGATAAAATTATGGAGTCAACTCGGCTTCAATGATTGCTACCCAGAGTTCCTTTCGGTCCAGTCGCGTAGGCTTGAGCTGGTCGACGACAACATTTTTTGAATTGACTGTATACATTTTACTCTTTATAACTTTATTGTACGTGCCTTGCCGTGACCGTGACTGTGCTTTTGCTTTGTTTCGTGACGCAGGTATGTAAATGTTCAACCTTATATGTTTAATATTGTTAATGTTAAGCATCGTAGTTTAAATTTTTTCCAACATACATACTTACATCGGTGATTACTCCATCATCTGAAAGTGATTTCCAAAGTGTCGATAACAGTGTCATACAACCATATTTGGAGTCATTCGTGTGTCCTGGAAACTGGCCATCTTCGGTCAAAACAACCTCCGCCAAGATCATACTTCCTCCTTACGAGAAGACATGTATATTTTAGAAAGCCATATGTATTTCTAGTCTATTAGGCACTATAGACGCCGAGGATAGCAAGCAGGTCACGAGAGAGGAATATATGCGTACATATCGGTTCCCCACTTATTTTTTAAACAATTTGCTTAGTACGTACAACAGAGAAGACGTCTTACCTGGCCTAAGCTCGGCCGCTCTTTTCGTTAGATATAATTCCCAGTCTTTTTCAGCCTGTACCCTAAACTTCTCTTTTTCCTGTGGTACAGTAGTGAACAAAGGAAATATCGTTCCAGTGATGTCACAAGGCTTGTCACGCAACCAATGTGTGCAATTAGAAGAGAACCCCAATGTCACGCTATCATTGGGGAAACACTGATCGTAGAAATTTGTACCGCTGGCCATGACGAACACGTTGGGGAAGTCCAGGAGATAACTGCGAGGACCAGGAACTAAACCTTGAATGGATTCAAGATAAATACTTTGATATAATTAGAAGATATAACTAGCTAAAAACTAGTGTGAGCTGCGTCGGTGTTTCTAATGAAACAGTAATGATAAAAAGAGTAAATTATACACCGTGAAAAGATATAAAAACTTACTGACGTTTCGGACGCTAGTCCTTCGTCAGAATAAAAGAGTAAAAGGACGAGGGACTAGCCATCCGAAACGTCGGTAACTTTTTTCACAGTTTCCACGGTGTATAATTTACCTTTTTATCATTACTGATATGATTAGAAATAATTAAAGTATACACTGAATCGGATTAATAGAGCCTTCAAGCTTGGGAGTAAATATTTTGCACCTGTTGTTATCTTTAGCATAATATTCTTTGTTTGAGTTGTATATGCATACTCATGGGTCTTCTTCTTATGTGCAACCGTTAAACAAAAAAATGTAATGCCTTAGGGGATCGTGACACGTGAGCTGAGAAAACATTACTGGGTCCAACGCTAAAGAGGTCTATTGCAGTTTTGTCCAATCTTCAGTCTAGTCCCATTGTATAGAACTAGTTTATCTTTTAAGCAAAACATTTCTTCAAACCATGAATAAATGCATGGCAAACTCACAGATCGAAATATAATTGGGTGTAAATGAGGAGGAGGACTACCCACAAAGAACCCGGAAAACAACCATCAAATCTAATCAAGGGAGAGACCTTACAAACTCTACTCACATGAAGTGTTGCGTCTAATCCAACTCCAGGCCCCAGAGGTGACGTGAATCGCTACACCACCCATAATGTCCGAGAGCAAACAAAAATCGAGGGGAGACTGGTGCCCGTGGTTTACTCTTACCTTGTGTTCTCAAGAACACAGACGTGAAATCATTGACGGGTTGATCCTCGTAGATCACATTGATCGGCAGTTCAGCACCATATTTTTCTCGTATTGCTTTGACGCATGCGTAGATAAGATCCATCGAAATTCCACCATCAGCCGTYCCATAATCCACTAGGGTYACCACAGACTGTTTTTCTAGGGCCATAGCATCAAGTTCTCTCAGAACCAAAGGGGTCGCTGTCTTAACCACTTGACGATTAGCAATGCTACGAGTTGAAAAATACCCAGAACCAACCTCGCCGTACGGGAGATGACTATGAGGGACCTGGCAAAAATATGCAATAATCCCCAGGGGGTTGGGAGGTTAACGTTGATATCCACATTTTCTAGCTTTGCAAACATGCATATTAAATGAAGGGGGGGAGGATTTCACATTGTTTTATATGTGCGAGTCATGACCGACTTTCGATATTTGCAGGCGAATGATGAGTGGTGTGTCTGTGTGAAATATGCTTGGAGCTACCAATAGRAATTCCATGAAGATACACTGGGGCTCGTGGTCTGTTTCGATAGTAAATTTGTTTTTCCTAACCAAATGCAATAACTAAACGCAAAGGTGACAGACAGGTTGGCCGTTCCGAAGGAGTGCTACTCCAAACCCTTCTCGCTGGCATCACATCGTAACTTATTCTCCCATGTCTTAGGCCCTAGCTAAACGAGGAAAATGTTTCCGGATCCAGAAAAATATATCTGATAGTCAGTTCTCTTACAGAGCATCTAGCCTTCTGAAAGTCTGGGAAGGAATTTGGCCAAAAAGTTGATAAAACCTATAACGCTTAACGTTTGCTGTTTGCAGATAGGCTTTGTCTGGATCATGCAGGCTTAAGTGCTGATCTTGCTAGGATTAAACCCATGAACCTACTTCAGTCGGATTGAGTGTTTAACTGTTAAAATATGTCGAGGATTAATTTTTCAGTCAGTATTCTAAATGTAACAGTATGAAAAGACGTAACTGACGTAACTCGGTGACACGTTGACGCATACCTTCGTAGTTGAGTTATCAAACTATTGATTGATTCYTCTGGACTTCTTGTACAGCTTTCAAAAACGAAACCTTCGTATGCACCTTTTTTGTTTTTTTGAATTGAAGTCTTCCGCTAAGGCTTCCGCTCCGCTAAGATCTGATGCAAGTATACAGAGAGTCTTAGATTTACGTTTACATACGGTAAACGTGAAACGTCAGTTGACCATAAAAAATTACTGAAAAAGGAATCAAAAAAGTCCTAGTAGTAGAATAAAAACAAAAGAATATTTGCTTGTGGTGAGAACATTTGCAAAAGATAAGGTAAAATGCAGGAAAACGATTAAAACGTGGTCACGTTTGCCGTTTGCGGGGAGATAAAAAGTCAATCTAAAACTCTCYAATATTTGTAAATACTTCGTTACTTTCTTCCTCGTTCAACTTGAAATTTTAAAATATCTGTAGACAATCCTTAATGGCCAATCACACAAAACGAGAAGTTAAAAAAAACGTCCTTGTTCCATGATAAAATTGGAATTTAGGAGTTGATTYCTCTGGAGGGAGGAAAACGGGAGAACCCGGAAAAAACCCTTAAAGCACAGGAGAAAARCAACTAGAAATTTATAGGTGCTGGGCGTATGTTCGTTATGATTTTGAATCATCCAGTGATTTCCAGCATCGCAAAAATATAGGTTCTGGTGATGTTTGCGAAATACCAGAATGTCAAAAAAATCTTTGTTCATTAAATTTGTTATGTATTCGTCCGATCGTTCCCCTGTACTGAAATTTACACAGGGCAGGAAACGGCAAACATACCTAACTTCAAACGCGTCTGGTAAGTCTTGTATGAAAACAGTTTTATGGTATGGTCATAGGTCTAATATTAATAGCCGTAAAATATATTCCTCGTTATAACCAAATGTAGTCAGTCATACTCACAAAGGGTTTCTTCTGTTCCATAGTCGACTCTTTCGTGACCAAAACTCGAATTAACGATTTCGAAGGTTGTGCCAGACGCAGCATCATCAGAAATCACATGACTGAAAGACAAAATACCTGGAAGGCACATAGGCAACCCAAGCAATGTTCTTGTGTACAATAATGCTAGTGTATAGAACAAGTTCCCAGTTTACCGAGCCTTCGAGCGGCGAGGTAAATATTGACCATAATCACTGAGGCTCAGGGAGATAATTGTTTTAGTGTAATTTTAGACTCGAATATCAGAGAAAAGTCGAAATGCAGGATAAAAACAACGGTTTAGTATAAGTACTTCCACTTTGGCAAACTTTGAAAAACCTCATAATCATCGCTCGAGCAGTGTCTATCGTCTCATGATCACTGGTCGTTCGACCAATCACATCGCGAAAAACTCAATATTCAAGTCTAAAATTATACTAAAAGCTGTTGCCAGTCGTCCATTCATCAATTTTTTAGAAGCGCGGAATGACCGCAGACTGCGAAGCTACGATACACTGTGATTGTGCCTCACAAATGGCTAAAGATTTGGCCTCAAACGACAAAATGTGCTTTGGAGTCGAAAACTTTCTTCAGTTCTACGAAAACCACAAGAATTCCTGCAAAGCCAAAATATACAAGCACTTCCTCAACACTGTCAAAAAGGTGGCAAAGACATTGGTAAAGATGTTCAAGGAAAGGAAAGGAGTAATGCCAAATTGCTAGACAACCGGTGCAACTCTTGTATTATTACATAGATGAACAGTCCTTAATAGCAAATATGTTTGAATGACATGAAAATCGTGATAAATCAATAACCGTTTGTCAATAATTTTAAAAGAGAAATATTAAAACTATCACGAACTATCAAAGTAAATGGTGAGAGTGTGTTTTTGTATTCATTCTCTATTACAGTTATGATTACTTTGTTACTTATAGAGTAATAGTGTTTATGATGTTATAATCGCTTGGTGAAGGCTTTGTTGCATTTTGCATTTGCACAAGCCTGAAATGCGCTATTGACGTTTTGAATCCAACCGGCGAAAAAAAACGAATTCCAACCAGAAAGAAATAGATCTATATGATTATCTTAAAGGTAAAAAATTGCTGTAAAACCAAAATCGATTTTTGTCGTATAAGTACTTTAATGAAACAACCAGCATCAAGAGCTATTTTAAAGCACGCTCTTTTGTCTACAAACCGTATGGCTTACACCATGTACACTTGTAATAAACTTACATTGTTTTAAACCAACCCCTTTACAACCAACTTAACCACTACTTGATGTAAATAACTGTCTAACATGACTACTGAATTAGTAATACTTATCTCGTAGCAAACCAGCTGAGCGGGTGAACGCAGCGCTTAAAGCATGAGTGAACAAAACGACCGGCCCTAAATATTTTTTGATGCTTGAAAGAACGAAGCAAACGTAGCGATAAAGTAATTTTTTTATTCTTCCTTACCTGTTCTTGTAGGGAGATATATTATATTTTAGTAAAAAAACAAACAAAAATAAAAAAAAAAAAAGGAGAACACGCAAAAGTTGGATTACAGTAGCCTGGGAATGAGGGCATTCGGCAAAACCCGCTGTGATGGGCTGAAACAAAGTTCATCGCTCAGCTGGAAAGRAATACGTGAATGTTTAACACAAAATGGAGGTTTTCCCTGAGTGAAACTCGAAACTGGCGTGGTTTTAAAGACGTTTTCGTAAGACCAAATAGGCGTTAACATAATCAACCCCATGATCCTCAGGGCACTTGGCCACCTCATCTTCGTAACGGTGGTACAATTCATTGACGATCCWAGATTTCTCTTCGGCAGAACGAGAATCCGAGAGTCCTGGAAAACATAGTAAAATGAATATTCAAAGGCAAAGTAAAGAGGTAGATAAATTGAATGGACTGTATGRCGATTGAGACCTAATGGCCGACAGGCCGACTGGTAGTCGACTGGTAGTCGACTGGCAGACCAAGCCCGAAATGCACTCTGGGCGATGTGAATCCAAACAGCAAAACATTTTACCAAACTTTGTTATGTTTGCACATTTTTCCGGCATGTTTTCTTTCTAGCCAGATAAGAAACACGCATTGATCGTAGCATGCAACATGCAGCAAAACCTTCATCTTTCAAAAAAACTTTTTTTGAAATAGCTGTATTCACCTGAAAGAAATGTGCTGTTGCTCCACGCTCGAATACTTCCTACATATTTCTTCGCATGTTCTTTGGCATCTCCCTTTTCTTTGATCCATTTTTYCTTATATGCACAAGGCACTATTTTCGTTTCTATGGAAACCAACTCAAGACCTGCTTTGACAACAGGCGAGTCAGGACATTTGAATGGCTTCTTGAACTCATCTACCCTTCTGAAGTAAAAGTTTAGGTTTGTTTCGGTAACCTCGTCCTATAAGAGATAAATGTATTCTTTATTTATTTATTTATTTTTTCCATTGAAAAAAGATAGCACGAAACCAATTGTGCGACCAATTTAATGAAACACAATTTGTATGACAAAGAATCGAAATACATGCACAGTTTTCAGTTGATGATAAAGGTTGATTTAAAAGATGGAATTAAGCTAGAACGCCCGGCAGTACAAAACTTCCATGAACTTTTTATTCAGTACGTTTAGCAAATCGAGGTCCCTTTTCTATAGTCTGTACCACGAGCGCAGCGGGTGGTTTCATGTTCCATAGAAAAGGGACCTCGATTTGTTTCTTACCACAAAAGAATTCAGTAACACACATCTTTTCGACGTTTTCTTAGTAATCAGATCAACAAATTGAAAGAGATCGCGCTCGTTGACGTCACCTTATTGGTCTGTCCTCTTATCGAAAATGAAAAATAAGCTTACGCTTCTTTCGTGCTTAACAACCTCCCAAGTGCATCCATAAGGCGATTGCCATAGGCGCATGCTAAGCGTGAACCATTTTTTTAACATAGCAAAAACGAAATTATTATTTTTTTGATTAATTTAAAAAAAGTTCACTTCAGAGTTAAGGATACACGCTCTCTTGATAACCAATCAGAGCGCGCGTTTTACTTAAGCTATGTTAGAAAGTCATTAGCGTACCGTGGCCAAGGCGTGCAGTGCCGTTTCGCCGTCATGCAAAATCTACTTTAAGTTTGCACGATTTTCAGCCTAATGTTCATCTTTATGTTGAAAGTTCACTTTCTTAGTTAAATACATACTTACATTGGTAATAATGCCCTCATCTGCAAGTGATTTCCAAAGTGTCGATAACAGTGTCATACAACAATATTTGATGTCATTCGTGTGTCCTGGAAACTGGCCATCTTCGGTCAAAGCACCTTCCGCCAAGACCATACTTCCTCCTTTCGAGAAGACATTAAAAATATACCATATGTATTTCTTGTAACTAAGCAAAGAATGCACAATTTCAACTACACACACACTTTAAAAATTCCTCGGACCTTC